CCTGCACTCAAGTGCCCAAACCTAAACACACACACACACACACACACACACACACACACACACACACACACACACACACACACACTTTTTAAAAATAACAAAAATCTTGTTCCAGGACAGCCAGGATTGTTACACAAAGAAACCCTGTCTCAGGGGAGGGGTGTCCCTAAAAATGAAAGTATGGTATTGATACGTTGGTCAGGCCTAGTGCCACAGCCCTGTAATCCTAGCTCTTAGAAGATGGAGGCAAGAAAATCAGAAGTCAAGGTCCATCCTCCTCTACAGAATGAGTTCAAGGCCAGCCTGGACTACATGAGACTCTGTCTTATAAAACTGTTTTTTTTAGGGGGGGGGTAGGTAGAGGGGAGCCAGACATGGTCTTACTATGTAGTGACCAGGCTGGCCTCTAACTCACAGAAATCTGCCTGCCTCTGCCTCCAAGTGCTGAGATTAAAGGCACATGCTATTACCCTGATCCATTACCTTTTTAAAAATATTGATACACTGGGAAAAGGCTGAAATTGGACTTGGTGGCGCATGTCTGTCATCCTAGTACTCAGGAGGCTGAAGTGAGAGGCTTGCCAGTTGAAGTCATCATGGGCCTTTAAGGTGTGTGAGGGTGGCAGGAGGTGGGGAGGATACTTAAATAAAATAGAGTGAAATGTTTCTGTTCTGTCTGGGAAGAGATCATGTGTGTGTTCTATAATGAATATGCATTGTTTTAAAGTCAGGAGAAACAGGCATGCAAGTGTGAAGGTAGTGTCCTGCTGTGTCTGCTCTTGGGCCAGGCTGCCACATGTGCCAAACTCGGGGCAGAGGCTTGCTCTCTCTCTCAGCAGAAAGGCACCCCTGGCCTCCTATAAAAAGGAGTACATCTGTGCTGAGTTGGGCATAGAAGTTCTTTTTTTTTCCAGACAGGGTTTCTCTGTGTAGCTTTGTACTTTTCCTGGGTCTTGCTCTGTAGACCAGGTTGGCCTCTAACTCACAAAGATCCACCTGCCTCTGCCTCCCGAGTGCTGGGATTAAAGGCGTGCGCCACCACCTCCCAGCCAGAAGTTCATTTTAAATACAGTCCTCCCCGAGAGCTATATAGACAGTCTCAATGGCCTTGCTTCATCTTTGGAAGGTCGGCGTCCCCAAATGCTGTCTTTGGACACCGTGCTTGGGAGATCACCTTCCTAACCTCGTGGAGGGAGGAGGCCACACAATGACTGTTCTCCTCAGGTTTCTCCCCACAGCCACAGGCGATGTGTATGCAGGTTGTTATGACAGCCCCTGGGAATGCGTTCTGTAGCCCGTGGAGTCCTGATTTCATTGGCGAAGTCTTTTGCTTCATTGTCAGTGTTCTGCAGCTCTCGCAGAGGCCTGCCTCAGCTACAGGAGCTGCTAACAAGGAAAAGAACTTGATTGCCAGTTCCTTCAGATGTTTGCCCGTCACATGCCACTGGCTTGGACGGCATTGTGAAACAGTCTTTGTTTCCTGCTGCTTTTTTGGTGGAATTTGTTTCCTGTGAAAATGAGCCTTATGAAGGAAGGCTGGTAGAGGACACCTGCCCCCTCCTGAAAAGGGACGAGGCAACCTCCTCTTCTAGGTAGCCCACAAGACTAAAAGTACTGTGTGTCTGATGTGGGTAGTGGTTTGACACTGGCCGCGTAGCCTGGGGGCCATATTCCTCAGACAGGTCATGTTTCTTCAGAAGCCTGTGCAGATAATCTGATGGGGTTAGCCGCTGCACCTGTTACTCTCGGGCTGCCCATGATAGCACAAGATGGCGGATGGGGAGTGAGCACACACATACATGCACACTTGTGGTATGGTTAAGAAGTTGCTGATGCCACCAGGCGTTGGTGCCACACATCTTTAATCCCAGCTCTTAGGAGGCAGAGGCAGGCGGATCTCTGTGAGTTTGAGGCCAGCCTGGTCTACAGAGCGAGACCCAGGAAAAGTACAAAGCTACACAGAGAAACCCTGTCTCAAAAACAAAAAACAAACAAAGAGTAGAAGTTGCTGATGCCAGCTTCTGTCCTGCCATCCAGATCTTGCTGGTGGAAAATGTCTTGGCTGATGTCTGAGGACTGTCGCACTAGGGGAGTACACATACACTTCTCTGGAGTGAAGTAGAGCCACCCTCTAAAATGGGAGGATCAACATGTAGCCTTTTGGTTTGTTTGTTTGTTTGTTTTCGAGACAGGGTTTCTTTGTGTACCCTTGGCTGTCCTGGAACTTGCTCTATGGACCAGACTGGCCTCGAACTCAGAGATCCATCTGCCTCTGCCTCTTGAGTGCTGGGATTCAAAGTCGTGCACCACCACTACCTGGCTAACATGTATCAATTTTAAACAAGGGTGTTTTAAAATTTTTTTATTTGTGTGTGTGTGTGTGTGTGTGTGTGTGTGTGTGTGTGTGTGTGTGTGAATGCCATGTGTGGGGTGCCTGTGGAGACCAGAAGAGGGTGTCATATGGTGTTGAAGGTCATTGGGAGCCACCAGTGGGTGTGGAGGACTGAAGTGCACCCTCTGGAGGGCAGCAAGTCCTCGTAACTGAGCTGCCCCTCCAGCCCGTTTGTTGTTAATGAGTCATATCCATAGGAAGCCCTTGAACACCTAGATTTGAAGGAGTTTAGAGCATGTCCTAGACACTGATGTGTTCCTGAAAATGGGAGTGAGCGCCTCACTCCTTAGTTCCCAGAGAACTGGCGCAGCTGTGCTGTGGCATGGGGGCTGAGCAGTCTGTATGGCTTCAGAATTGTCACATGACATAGACCGTGTCACAGCCAGTGAGAGCAGCAAGGTCAGATCCTCGGCACCTAATGACCGGTGTGCCACGCCACTGGCCGAGGCACACAGCCAGGTGGACAGTCAGTTGTACAGAACATGTCATGGTGGCACATATGCACAAGGCATGAAGGAGAAGGGTGGACAGTGTGTGCCCGTGACATGTGTGGAGCCCAGATGTGTGTATATAAATCACAAAGGGGAAGTGGAACAGACCCCAGGCTTCTGCACTTCCAGAGTTTTTGATCTTTCAAGAGCTTGCTCTTCTGTGTAAGGCTGTAGTCTAATTCAGATACCTCGGCAAATGTCTGTCTCATCCAGGGACATTCCTCCCTCTCATGACAGAGTAAGCGGAGACCCAGAGTCAGGCTGCAGTCATGCACTAGGGACCTCTCGTTCCTCAGATGGAAGCAGGGTTCCTGTCTTCCTGGGGTGTCGAGATGCACGAATGTGGCCACCTAAGGAGTCTGCTGTGTGCAGAATCCTGTGTGCAGCCATGGTCAACGGCACTAAAGCTGCCACCCTTGTAAGTGCCGAGCCCACCAGCACGCACTCGCCGTCCACTCTCAGGGTCCCCTCCTAGCTGCTGCTGCTACCGCCGCCGCCTTCCTCCGCCAGCCCCACCGCTGACCACCAAGGCCAGTTCCATAGTCTAGCAGCTAGCCCAGGAAGTTGGAGCTGGAGCTGCTTACGCACTGGTCCCAGCAGATGTTTCAGACAGATTGTGTGGGGGTAGAGGGGTGGGCATGGGGTAGGGGCGCACATCTGTCCTGAGAGCCGAGCTCTCATCCAGCCATGTGATCCTTACTCTCCTCTCTGTCACATGCTGAGAGAGCTTCAGGAACTCCTGACTCTGCGGAGTTCAGTATCTCAGAGGTACAGCGATGCAAATGTCAGTGTTTTTAAGCACCTCAGGAATGTCTTGACCTTGCAGGGATCAGGCCGAACTTGAGTCCTGGCCATTGGAAACTCATTTGCTCCTGGATGAGGATGGGCTTGACAATTGCAGGCCCAAGCCTGGCTGGGAGGAGGATAGGCAGGCTTCGATAGACAGCTCAGGATAGGCGGGCTTCGATAGACAGCTCAGGATAGGCGGGCTTCAATAGACAGCTCAGGATAGGCAGGCTTTGATAGACAGCTCAGGATAGGCAGGCTTTGATAGACAGCTCAGGATAGGC